AACGACCCCCCCCCCCTCCATTAAAAATGAAGAAACCATTCCCATTTCTTCGCCTTTTACATATTTGAAATTCGTCTAATTAAACTGCGTTTTAATGGCATGGGAACAAGAGTCAGAAGAGTCAAGCGTAAATCTTTTCGAAACTGGGTTACAAAAAATATTTCTTTGGAAGGAAAATGTTAAAATAATTTATAAAGTCCCTGGTTCTTTGTCCTCATTGCCGCTTTCATTTAAGAAATTTCGAAGGAAGGGGGAGGGGGGGGGGGGGGGGTGGGTGAGGTCCCCGAAAGAGATGAAGTAATGAAAGTATAGGCCTACAGTTTTTAAATAGTCATATCCGTTCTTGTACCGGCACCATTTTAGAAATGGGTAGATCTATATGATGGAACTGAAGTTTCTTTTCGAATTTCATTAGATCTAGTATATAAGTAGTTTTGCTAGATCTATATGTCGCAACATTTCAAAACTTTTCCAGTTCTTTTTTGATGAGCGGACCGTTTAATTAATCAGTCATAGAAGTGGGGGGACTAAATACAAATGAATGCACCCAACTAAATACTTTTCGAATTTCATTAGATCTGACATATAAGTAGTTTTGCTAGATCTAGATGTCGCAACATTTCAAAACTTTTTCAGTTCTTCTTTGATGGGCGGGCCGTTTAATCAATAAGTCATAGAGGTGGGGACTAAATACGAATTAATTCACACACCCAACTAAACACTTGATATTCTCTTATTGGCAATCAAGTGTAAAAGGAAGAAGAAGAAGAAGAAGAAAAAAGGAAATAAATCAGGCATAGGTTACTGTCTCTTCATTACATGTCGCTGTGAGGGGAGATTGTATCGAGCCGCGCGGGGTAATTAGCCAGCACACCTGCTCAGAAAGAAGCCGAGTCACCATTAACATGTCACAGTTTTATGTTCAGTTAAAGGGATTTCCTTGCTCAGTCAGGACTACAAAATTCCTTCGGCCTGGCCTGGCTGTGTCGAGCATCTAAATTCTCCGCTCGCTTTTGGGAATAGCGAATTCGGAATCTAGTAGGTGTTAAACTTTGAAAAAAAGAAATGTAAAAATACTGAAAACCCCCCAAAATAGTATACTTCTACAAAAAGAAATTCTTAGAAATGCTAGAGTAAGAGGATATTCGAGATGTTTTCCAATAAAACTGAAAGTGACTAATTAATAGTAATGGAAAAAATAACAACAC